TCCTTGTAATTATTCAAATATATCTTAATAAAAGAATGTTAGGGTGCTGAGAGAGTGTAGGTTCGAAACTCTCATTCTTAGACCCTCATTGCTGAACTCTCAAGCTCTCCTCTCTTCAGTTTTCTTTAGGACAAAAGGCAATTGGCACTATTGCCTTAAAAGTTGAAATCGGGGAATTGTATTCAGATGCCCTATTTCATGTTATTGATGCGGACACCTCCTACAATGTCCTCCTAGGACACCCTTGGTTGCATAAATATGGAGTAATCCCATCAACACTCCATCAATGTTTTAAATTCAACAAAGATGGAGAAATAAAGAAGGTCATTGCTGACCCAAACCCATTCCAAGGAGAAGAGGTGCATTATGCAGATGCCAAATTTTACGAGACTATTGATCTATCTTTGACTTCTCCAAAGAAAGGAATCACAAGAGGTAAAGTGAATAAGGAGCACAAACCTTCAATGCATGAGGGTCCACCAAAGACCCCAAAAATCAAAATTGCCAGAATCACATCTAAAGAGCCAAAGTTGCCAATTGACTCTAAACCTAAAATTGTTTTTAGGTACACTCCTAAGAGTCAAAGAAGCCAGGGGCAGAAAGCCCTCACATCACTACAAGATTCTATGACAACATTAATGACAAGCTACACATGCCCATTGAGGAGGATTGATCAATCAATCCCACAAACTCAATTAATAGTATCAACTTCCCTTCAAAATAGGAAAGGGAAAAATAGGAGGATTGTTTTCCGCAAGTTTAAGCCCTTGTCATTTATGGCTATGAGTAGGGACAATGACAATCCTATTTGCAGTGATGCAGCATCAACTTTAGAGGTTTCAATACTCACAGATCGTGAAAAGGCTATTTTTAGTCAAGAGAAAATAAAGCCTCGAGTCTTTGTTTTCAAACGACTTGGAGACTTAGAAGATGTTGAGCATGAAAAGAAAGGAGTTTCTGTCTTCAACAGACCCATATTACCATCCCAAGGGATTGGCAAAAATAGCAGGAAAATTGTAGAAAAGAAGTGGCAACCTAACATTACCATTAAGAAGTTGGAGGACGGTGGAGAATTCAAAGTAGAAGTCAACTACATCTCCACCAAAGAACCTCAATCTGCAGATCCAGGAGGACAAGGTACGAATCTTATTGAAAATTCTACTACTCAAGTAGAAGTAGAAGATACAAACCTTGACTGTGATAAATTTGAACAGATGGAATCTTCAAAGGAAGAGGAAACTCAATCTATTGAAGTTCTTCCTGAATGTGAAAGTCTTGAAGAAATCAAGGAAGCTCAATCGGCACCACAAAAGCTTGAAGATGGAGGCCAAGCAACTGTAGATGAGCTTCAAGAAATCAACCTTGGAACTATTAAAGACTCCAAGCCCATTTTTGTCAGTGCTCTTCTCACCAAGAAAGAGTTGGCATCATATGAATCTTTACTTAAAGCATACAAGGATGTCTTTGCTTGGGGATATCAAGACATGCCAGGACTAGATCCAAAGGTAGTTGTACATAGATTAACTGTTTCTAAGGATAAGCGTCCTGTAAAACAAGCTCAACGTCGCTTTAGACTTGAGCTTATTGTACAGATTGAATCTAAGGTTGACAAGTTAATAAGAGCTGGTTTTATTAGGAAGTTAAATACCCTACATGGCTTGTTAATATCGTGCCTGTTAAAAAGAAAAATGGACAAGTCCGAATTTGCATAGATTTTAGAGATCTTAATGATGCATGTCCAAAAGATGAATTTCCACTACCTATTACAAAATTGCTAGGGGATGCTACTATAGGGTTTGAAGCATTGTCCTTCATGGATGGCTTTTCAGGTTATAACCAAATTAAGATGGCTCCAGAAGATGAAGAGCTAACTGCTTTTCGAACTCCAAAAGGGATATTTTGCTACACAGTTATGCCCTTTGGCTTGAAAAATGCTAGAGCTACTTACCAGCGAGCCATGACAGTCATATTCAATGATATGCTTCACAACACTGTGGAATGTTATGTTGATGATCTAGTGGTGAAGACTAGAAAAAGAGAACATCATCTAGATGATCTAAGAAGGGTTTTCGATAGACTTCGGAAACATCAACTTTTTGGGGTAACTTCAGGAAAATTCCTTGGATTCATTGTGCGACATCGAGGAATTGAAATCGATCCTGCAAAAATTAAGGCAATCATAGAAATGCCTCCTCGAAATTTATGAGAATTGCGGGGTTTACAAGGAAGGCTAGCATATATAAGGAGGCTCATCTCCAATTTATCTGGGAGATGTCAGCCATTTTCAAGGCTAATGAGGAAAATTACACCCTTTGAATGGGATGAAGCATGCCAAAATGCTTTCCAAAGCATTAAAGATTATCTACTAAAACCTCTTGTGCTAGCAGCGCCTATAAAGGGAAAGCCTTCAATTTTATACATTTCAGCTTCAAAAAACTCTTTAGGGGCATTATGGCTCAAAATAATGATGAGGGAAAGGAAAATTCTCTATACTATTTGAGCAGAACCTTAGTAGGAGCAGAACTCAATTACTCCCCAATTGAAAAGGTGTGCTTAGCATTAGTGTTTTTTGTTCAAAAATTAAGACATTATTTGCTTGCACAGCCAATCTCATTAATCTCAAAGGCCTGTCCCTTAAAATATTTGCTTTCACGACCGGTCTTAACAGGAAGACTAGCCAAATGGTCTCTCATCCTTTCAGAATTTGAGATCAAATATACTCCTTGAAAAGCAATCAAAGGGCAAGTAATAGCTGACTTTCTAGTAGCTCATCCCGTGCCTGATGATATGGAGTTATCAGAAGATCTCCTAGATGATAAGGTTTTGTATGTAGAGGTAGCGAAGCCTTGGCAACTTTACTTTGATAGAGCTTCTTCAAAACAAGAGGCAAGGATAGGAATTGTATTTGTCACACCTTCAGGGGAGTTGATTCCTTATTCATTCTCCCTAACATCATTATGCTCAAATAATATTGCTGAGTATGAGGCAATTATTGTTGGGTTGGAAATTGCACGGGAGATGAACATTGAACACTTACAAGTGTATGGAGATTCTCAACTAGTTGTTATCCAGTTAAATGAATTGTATGGGGTTAAACATTTGACTTTAATCCCTTATTTCAAAAAGGCCAAAGAACTTGTGACTCAATTCACCAATATCTCTATTGGTTATATACCAAGATCGGAGAATGACAAAGCAGACGCATTGGCCAAGTTGGCCGCGTCACTTATTTTGCCAGAAGAAAAAGAACTGCAAATCACTATTGGTGAAAGACGTATCCTTCCATCTGTAAATGCAAGAGATAAAGAAGTGGAATTTGTGAACTTCGTCACAATACAATTAAAAGGAGAAACTACAGACTGGAGGGCACTCATAATCAATTATTGACAGTATAGGATTATTCCAATAGACCCCAGAAGGAGCGCTAATGTACAATGCCAAGCTGTTCACTTCAGGTATATAAATGGCACTCTATATGGAAAATCCATAGACGGAATTCTCCTCAAGTGCTTGTCTGAAGATGAAACTTTGCAAGCTCTCCATGAAGTACATGCAGAAGATTGCAATGTACATCAAGATGTCCCTAAGATGGTAGGACACTTAGAAAAGTTGGGCTATTACTGGCCCACTATTATATTGGATACTATCCGCATCCTGAGGAATTGTGTCACTTGTCAAAGGCAAAGGAACTCATTATAAGAAATTGCAGATGTGAGCATGGTCACAATTTATCAAATTGAGGAAGATACAGATTGGAGGCAACCTATCATTGAATATTTACAACATGGAAGGTTGCCTACTGACCCAAAGAAAAGGGTTGACATACGATGGCGAGCCCCTCGCTTTACAAATTTCGGGGATACCCTGTATAGAAGATCCTTTGAAGGAATCCTGCAAAGGTGCTTATCTGATGAAGAGGCAAGAAATGCTTTATATGAAGTCCATTCTGGCACGTGCGGAGCCCATCAAGCTGGGCCAAAATTAGCAGGGCAATTAAAGAGGCTAGGTTATTATTGGCCTACCATGGTTCAAGATGCAATAAAATTTGCATCCTCCTATAAAGTATGCCAATTACATGGAGATTTCATACATCAACCACCAATGCCTCTTCATCCTACTACTCTATCATGGCCATTTGAAACTTGGGGATTAGATGTGATTGGTCCTTTTAAACCACCATCTTCTGAGTTACATTCATATATTTTGGCTGCCACGGATTACTTTTCCAAGTGGGCAGAGGCAATTCCATTAAAAGAAGTTAGGGCAATAGATGTTGCCAACTTCATTCAAAACCATATCATATAAATTCCAGCATGCCAAATCTGCATCTTATAACCCTTCACCAAATGGACAAGCAGAAGCTTTCAACAAAGTTCTTTGCAAAATACTTAAGAAGATGGTGTCGAAGAATAAAAGAGGTTGGCATGAAAGCTGTAGAGAAGATGGGCCAAATGAGGATGAGCAAGGACTGAGTTCAACCAACCTCAAGACAGCAATACACAAGGCCAAACTACACCCGGAAGTTGCAAGAACCAAGACTGAAGTAGAACCTTGGTTCGGCCTTCAAGAAGTAATCAGAAAACTTCTAAGCACTCAGTCGAAGTTCCTTTTCTAATCAGGGACTTCAAGGTAATCACCAAAAAGTAATCAAGAAGAGTAAATACCAGTCCGTATTGCTGAAGAGGCCTTTTTACAAACACAGTGTGGACAATAGAGAAGACCCCACTGTCAAAGGTCAAAAAGGTCTCAAGAACAATTCGTACAGGCCCCCAAAACACA